GCTGCAAATCCGCAGTTGGGCGGGTTTTCTCCTTTCCTGTCCTCCAACTCAGGGCTCACTTGTCCCCTGAGCTCAGCTGAAGACTTGCAGCATTCTGTAAGTTCCTGGCACACTGGGAAGGAAACAAGATGTGTTTGTCACTGCTGTCCTTGGGATTTGTTACAATAATGCTAAGAGGTGAACAGGTAGGAGTTTCCATGGTGAACTTTTTTCTCTGTCTCTTCTATGCCAATCTCTTTTCCTACTTTTAATCACAAAAGTAGCATATGGCTGTTGCAAGAATCACAAAAAAATAGAATGAAAAGCAGAAGTCCCCTTTTCACTTCCATGTTCTTCAAACACACTCCTTTCCCCTTCCTGCTGTTAGCATTTTAATAGGGAAACAGCTAAACCGCTTAAGACCCTGAGGGAAGGGAAACTATAGGTACTGCGAATTAACAGTAACAGTTATCATAGTAAATAATAATAAACTAGAATTTGTGAAATGAATACTCATGCCAAACAGCACGATGGGATTCAGGGTACATTTTTAAAAATGCAATTTGTTCTGCTTGGGAGATACGGGACATGTTTGGAGCACAGGTCACCCTTGGTCTCCTCACTGTGTGCAAATAGTTCAGAGAGAGCCTTGGAAAACTTCTCTTTCCTGCATTTCCTAAACGCCCACTGTAAGGCTCCAAGGAGGCTGCAGGAGCAATAAAGAGCATTTCATATGCAGACACTAAGCTTTTTTAAAAAAGAATTGGAAGAGGCTGGGGATTTAGCTCAGCCTCACAGTGCCTGCCTGGCAAGTGCAAGGTCGTGAGTTTGATTCCTGGTACAGGCGGGGAGGGGGAAGAATTGGAATCTAAATGTGGTGAATCTGAATGGGCGTGGGGGGGGGTAGGCATGATTAATTACAGCAACCATGTTACCCCGCCCAGGAGCTGGGCCTAAAAGGGAATGAATCCAGGTCAAAGAGAAAGGCAGCCGTGGACAGGCAGGACTGCCTTTCAGCTGCTAATGCTCAGAGTTGGAAGATTTAAGGCTTTGGTTCCTGTTTGGCTGGTCTAGCTGACCCCGGCATCAACTGCCTTGATTAGAAATAAACAGGATCTTCCTTTTTGTCCCCAGGAATGCGGTGGAGGAAGGACTCTGAGGGAAAGGGCCTCCTCTGCCAAAGAAATAACAACAACAAGAAGGGTGACAGCAGGACTGCGATGCCGCCCCTTTCACCCGAGGCGATAAGGAAGCGTCCTGTTGTGTGTGCTGACCCTTCTCACTTTCCAGGTGGCCCTAGAGCTCCAGGGTTCACAGGACCAGGAATGTCATGAACGTCCCTAGTGCCTAGCACAGTCCCTGGTCCTTGGAAGCTGGGGTAGAGGGACTGTGGAATGAAATGGGGCAGGATAGGGGAAGCCTGTACCTCACTTACAGTCCGTCATGAGATGGGGTGCAGGGACCCAGGAAGACCCCGGATGACTGCAGGAGCCTTCCTTGTCCCTCAGTGATGCTGGGGCATGGGGGAGTTGTCCACTGAGAAGCCCCAGCAGGGCTTGTTTCCTTTGTCCATTCTTGGACAATCCTTGAATCCCAAAGGGACCGTTTGTCTACCTTCTGGGCCAGCCTGATCTTGGGATTCCTTAGCTCTCTTCACTCCACACTACTCAAAGAACTCTACCTTTATTACTTCTACTTAATTATCCTTTTTGTTTAGAAAGTGATGTGGAAGTAGAAAGATGTCTCCCTCCCCTCTTCCAGTCTTCCTTGGTGCTTCTCCTTCTCTCTTCTGAATCTCTGGAAAGTAAAGGAGTAAGGAGGGGTGAACCCAATTTTTTTTCTGTTGACCTCCTTCAAGTGCATTTAGAAAACTATTACTGCTATAGCCTGAATGTTTCCATCCTCCCAACATTTATGCAAAGATCCTAATCTCTAAGGTGATGGTATTGGAAAGTGGGCTCTTTTTTTTTTTTTTTTTTCATTTTCTCCAGTACTGGGAATCGAACTCATGACCTTGCACTTGCCAAGGCAGGAGCTGTGCCGCTAAGCTAAATCCCCAGCCCCAGGAAGTGGGCTCTTTAGAGGTCATTAGGTCATAAGCGTGGAGTCCTCCTGAATAGGATTAGTGCCCTTATCAAAGAGACCCCAAGAGTTAGCAAGTCCTTCCATAGTATCAGAACACAGTGAGAAGATGTCTATGAACCAGAAAGTGGGCTTTCACCACACAGAACGTACAGCACTTGACTTTGCACTTTTTAGCCTCTAGAACTATGAAAAAGAAGATTTCTGTTGTTTATAAGCCACCCAGTTGTGGTACTTTGTTTTAGCATCTTGATCAGCCAGAAGCAAGTATTCTGCTCAAGAACTTCCAATAGCTCCTTACTATTATTCATTTATATTGTAGACACTATAGCCTGCCTTGATCTGAGGTAGCTTGAATTTTATTCTTTCTGTTTTCCCCATCCAGTCAACAGGGCTTTTTGGTGTGTTCATGGAAATGGAGACAGGCAGGGGTGGGAGGCGTTTCCAGGTGAGACCAACAGCTCCTGGAAGGCCACACAGGGCATGTGAGAGGCAGGAGTGGAGGATAAGGAGTTGAGAAGTGATGGGGTTGTGAGACTTGGAGGTCACACGAGAGCTTTTAGATGGTTTTATTAGTTGAGCTGGAGTCACCGGAACCTTTCATGTGGGGTGACGCAGCCTCTAGAATGGCCACCTGGGGCCACATGGAGGAGGGGACAGCAATGAGAGGGCCTAGAAAGGGTACAAGACCCCCACCCTCTCTGGGGCTGCTGCTGGATGGTATGGAGGCATGGGTGTGAGAGATGACTGCCAGCACTGTTCCCTGGCTGGGCAGGGAAGGACCCTTTTCTGATGGCATCTCTCAGCGGCCCGGGCCTGCTTCCTTTCCTCCACAGACCCTCTCCTACCAGACACAGCCTGGAGGAAGGCAGAGGTGAAAGGTGGCTGGGGAGGGCAGGGCATCACGACAGGGGGCTGCTGCTTCCTCCTTTTCAGGCAGGAAAGGCAAACATAAGCAGACAATGGAACAGAGAAGGTGCATCCAGCAGAGGAGGAGGAGGAGGAGGGGGTCCTAGCCCTTGGTACTTGGAAGGCTGCCTTTGATCCCTTATCTCTGGAGGGTAAGCTTTCTTTTTCTGGCCCGTGGTGACCTTTTGCTGCAGCATTTCCTGGAGCCCCCTAAAGTAAACACAGTCAAATCTGCACCCTTACAGCTCCCCTTGGCTGGGTCCATTCCTCCCAGCAGAGAGAGGGTGGGTAGGTCCCCCCAGGAGATCGGCACTGTGCATCAGATGAGCCCCCAAAGTGTGGTGCTTTAGCATGTTGAGCACTTTGAACTAAAGGAGACTGGAAGGCCTTAGAAGCAGTCTCTTTTTGCTTCTGCTCTTCTGTCTCACATCCCGCTTTGCTCCCCTGAAGCTAGTCATCAAAACCAGAATTCCTCTTCCACAAGGTGGGTCACAGAAATTAGAGCCAAAGCAAGGCATAAATCCTAGAAGTATTACTCTAGCCCATCTTTCTGAGTAGGAGCTGGCTGTAAAGATAGTCTGCGACCTGCCTTATCTGATAGTAGGGTTGGAAGCCCCCCATTCCAGAGGAGTCCTGCCCCAAACCTGGGAGGAAGGAATGCTGCTACCCAGAGACCAAGAAGAATGTGGACAGGCCTTGCCAGGTTTCTCCCTTCAGTCTTTTGCCCAACCCACTTCTACACAGCTTCCATTCTTCACCCAGCCTAAGTAGCATGTTTTCCCTGGATCTCTGCATTGTTGTTCTGAAGGTTCCCATGTTGTCTTAGTACTTTCTTGTTATTGAGACACAATACCTGATACCTGCAACTCTGAGGAAAGGTTTCTTTTGGCTCACAGTTTCTAGAGGTTATAGAGTTATGTTGGTTCACAGTTTATTTTGGCTCAGTTTGTAGTACACTGGCTCTGAGGCAGGGTGGCATGGCCCAGGGGCATCACAGAGGAGAAAGAGCTCATGATGTGGGACCCTGGAAGCAGAGAGTGATCAAGGGAGGAAGAGGGAGATAGACCCTTCCAGGCCACGCCCCCAATGACCCACCTCCTCCCACCAGGCTCCACCTCCTAACATCACAGTTAGCTATGAAGTCATCAGTGGACTAAACCATGGATGAGAATCACATGCTCATGACCTACTCACCTCCCCAAAGCCCATAACTGCATGAGGCTTTGGGGGGACATCTAGATTTAAACCATAGCACTTCATGTAGGATTTTTATTAAATAAATGTTTTCTCTTGTTAATTTGTCGTTTGCTGTGGGAGTGTCAGCCCCTGACCCTTCTGATGGGTGAGGAAAGGTATCACACCCCTTACAAAGTTAAGGCTGGGCTGGCCCTTAGCTGCCACAGTGTGTGGGGAGTGACAGCCCAGGGGCGTCTGGGGTGCCCTTCCTGAGGGTGGAGAGAGAAAGGCAACAACAGGCAGGGAGAAAATTCAGATCCTTTCAGAAGGGGATGTTTAGGAGTTACCTGCATGCTGGGCTGGATTCACCCAGGCAGGAGGCAGCAAGGGCCACCTCGCCTGTTTGAGATAGGAAGGTGTGTGTGTGTGTGTGTGTGTGTGTGAGGGGTGGGACAGAGAGGTGATCTAAAGCTCACAAACATTCTAAAGGACCCCTGGTGCAGTGGCAGTGAGCTTTCCACAGGATAGGACCAGTTGAATCGCCCTATAAATGAAGTGGTGGCTGCGCTCTGCAAAGTAAGCCTGAAATTTGGAGACACCATCCATTTAATTCTCCTTCCCTAGGGTTCATTACTGTCAATTGCCAGAGGCCAGGCAGACAGGGTGGAGGTGGTCTCAGCCCAGCCCGCATTTTATTTATTGTATAGGGACACCCCCACCACCCACCCTTCTTGCACCAGACATCCTTTCAACCAAACCTGGCCAGGGGAGGGGACTTCAGCCCAGAGGCCCCTCCTCCAAGCCGTTGAGGGCCGTTATGTAATCTAGATTGTGAAATTTAGGAAAAGCAAAGCTCTAAACTCTCAGCTAACTGCTCAGATGGGCCGTCCCTGATAGCGACCCCTTTCCCCCGGCCCCATCCCCCACCTGGCCCCGGAAAAGCGCGGCAAAGTCGTGGGCACGGAAGTTTGGAGGACACGTCGTGGGGCGAAGGGGCCCTGGGCCCCCCGGGAGGGGGCGGGACGAGGAGGTTGGAGTCCCGGCCGCTACCCCGGCCGCGGCGCGCGCAGCCCCACCTGTTGCTGCGGGCGGGGGGCG